GCTACTCATTACCTGTTCCCGCTCTCGCTCCAGCAGCAGTTCGCGATGGCGCTGGGCCTTGCGCTGTTTGAAGTATTCTTCTTTTTGCGACGCAGTCATCGATCTCCTAAAAATGAACATTACCCAGTTATATATGCTGGAGGGAACGAACGGTTCAAGTTACACTTTACGCATTTCCGCATGGATCTGCAATCGCTTCTCTATATCCTTTTTTATCTGCTCGTTGCTGATTTGATCCAGGTCTTTCATGGTGAAAACGGTTCCCGCGACCGCGCGAACTTTCTGCAAGTATCTTTTGCGAGCACTCGGGTTAGCCAGCATTCGCAAATAAAGCTGTTGCAGGCTGAAAACACAGAGAAGCATAGAGAAACTAGTTCAACGACGAAACGCCAGGGATATTTCTGTGTCAGCTCCCCGTTCAATCACTCATACCATGCAGTAGTATCCTGCATTATTTTCTGCTTTTGCTCAGCGGTAAGCGCGAACATGGCTCGAACATCAGAAGATGAAGCTGGTTGAGAATTTTGAACTTTTTCTGCTGCTTTCTTTGGACGATACACGACGCTTCTGAAAATCTTTTCAAACTTCAGTCTAAACTGAGCCTCTCGGTCTTCATTTTCCGTTAGATCCATTACGGGTGGCTTCTAAATAATAAAGCAACGCCGCTGGGTTACAAATAGCATTTAATTATCAATGCAATGAAACTGGGATTTTTAAAGAATTTTGAAAGTACAGTTATTTTGCGACCAACAGACAGCTAGTAGTACTTTAAGAAACAGTTGAAAAAAATAAACCAAATTTAAATGCATCAGAACAAATGGATGAGTATCGACTAATTAATGAGTATCGATTACTACAGTAGTCCGTATCGCAGTTAAGATTTACAACCATATTTTAACCTTATTCAACGAAATTAATATTGATACTGTCTTATTCGAAAGCCTCTTACGCCTCTAACTGCCTGATATCTGATAGTCCAAATTGATACGTCCCATGAATTCCGTTCAGCAATGAATTTACGAGACATTCTTCATCCCGGCTTTGCCAGCCCGTAAATCGTCTGATTTAGAACCGAGAGGTCGCGGGTTCGAGGTCCAGTCAGATGATTCACTCGCCTCTCTAACTTTAGAGGTCGATAAATGAGTATGAATCATTGATAATGGATCAAAACAGTACACGTTATATCTGTTATGTACAGTACCACTAACTCTGCCATAAAAATAAGGCACCCTTGGATGATAGCACGGAAATGCGACCTCGGTCAGGGTCACTCGCGTTTCTTTGTTCCGAGATACACAAGTGAGCACCAATCTGTGGGAATGTAACATAAAACTACGCAATATGCTTGCCAATCTTGCTGCCATCCCTGTCTTTAAAACAAATGAGTCACTCGCAGCCTATGACATGAAGATGGGGATCAGCGCCACACCACTGTATTTATGAAAGGGGTGTCGGAAATAGCCTTATCATGGAGAGGAAAAAAGAAGGGAATTTTTCAACGTTAGGATATCAGCCTACCTTCCCCTTTACAATTGGCCCCTACTAATGCTCCTCTTTTCATGAAGTAGATGGTGCGGTGCTGATCTTCGATTCCATGCCATCAGTCAAAAGTACCTTATTTTTAAAGGCAGATTCTACAGACATCTATGTCGCAAGCGTAGAGTGTAGTCTCCTGGTTTCCTCCCACAGAGCGGTACTTATTTATCCATTTCGGAAGGAAGAAGGGTGATTAACTTTGAACAGGGCTTGAACTCTGGATCTATCGGTTATGAGTTCGATGCTCTACCGAATTAGTAAGCAAGCCCGGAATGAAACAATGTATGGAAAATTCCTTGCTCAAGGCAATTCATGAATAAGACAAAGTTGCTCTCGAGCGGAATCTAACCCCGCACCTTCGGTGTTCGAAGCACACCTACTAAACAACTGTACCAACAGCCCCATTATGAAAGTATAAGGAAGATCGACATTCAAGCGGTTATATTGTTTACTTTCAGGGTGACAGTTGGTAAATGTGCAACCTCAAAAGATGCAATAGGAATAAATCGCCCCTCGGAAGCCCATAAGGGACAATTCGGCGATGTGAACGAAAAGGAAGGACATGAAGAACGAACTGGCTTTCTTTTTTGTGCGCATTTTGAACAACAGGAATTGAATAATTCGGTATAAGTAGTGATTCATCATTCCTACATGGCCACCAGTCACCTGGACCCTTAGAGTCAGATCCATAATAAATCTTCCTCAGCGGGTGCCCGCGCTCACGATTTTTTTTCAAAATTTAGAAAACAAAACGTATGCAAAAGCGAAGCGAAACATAAGTAATCACGCGTGTCAAAGTTTTACTTCTCTGAGCATTTGTCGACGGACCTCAGACAGCTTTAAGTTGTCGCTGACAGCTGCACCATTAACTTCGGTCTTGGCTGTTAGATCTATGGTCCACTTTGGTCGGTTCGATCGCGCTACACTATTTTTCAGCACTTTAGAGGCAGCAGCTTTTGAAATAGCTGAAAATAAGCTTCTGTTAATAATATAAGCCAAAATCGCTTCAAGTTTACAACGGAAAACAGTAATCTACTTTACGGCAGGTAACGAGACTGCGCATGGTAAAATTCAATACGTAAAATAGTTTTGCTTCGAGTCTTTCGGGAGATCGGTAGCGCCAACGTGCAGCCAATTGACAGTAACGATGAATACGAATCATGAGATAGTTGTAATAGTTGTATACACATTGATATTTGTTTAAGTCACATAAGAATAAGTTATACAAGATTATAAGATTAGCACAAGAATGAGGTCATACTATATTTAAAAAATAACATCAGGGAACATACCGAAGATATGGTTTAAGGAATACCAGATATATAGACTGCTGGAATTTCACATGTATCGATATATTCTATCCCAGTCTTGAAGTTGAACTCTATTCGCTTTTTTATCTGCGCAAAAATTAAGCAAAGGGAATAATTTGGTTATAAAATGCTAAGGCTTTCCAACTACCTCTGGAGCAGTTTTTCAATAAGTCACACTCAATCTAAAAGATGCCATGTTGCTGCTAATGATGACCTAAGAGGTCTCTCATTACATTAATGGTCAGAAAGCACGAGTCAGTCATGTATTACAGATGCAAGTAACTAACAAAATACATGAGAAAAAATGGAGATGAACATAAAATCAACATATGCATCATATTAAAGTTTGCCCAGAAGCTGCTAAATCGTCTATTCCAATTGCTGAATTTCCATAAACGGATCAAGATGTCTCATCTACGTCAGGTTATTTCGCATTTATAATTGGCCAAACGGGTTGTTGCACGCTATGCACTGTGCTTATGTTGGCCTCGACATTATGCGTCTTGGTCATACCAGCGCTCAGTAACCGTTTTGGTGGAAGGAAGTGAGAAACTTATCACACTTCTCTTGCTACTTGATTATTGCACAGGCAACTAGTTCTCCAAGTCCAGATTTGACAGAAAGGCTGCAGGGACGGAATGGAGCGCATGCAATTCTGTGACTGCTTTTCAATCTAAGACACTGAATGATAATATCGCTTGGTAATTAGTCTAAAAAATTAGTCTGCGCAGAACTGCCTTCACATTGCCACGTTAAGGATGTGCCCAGTCCGAGGATACATTTTATGGCTTTGTTTGAAGGCTTCCAGTCATTTCTGTGCCAGATGAAACATAACGGCCTTTGACCAAATAATAAGAATGCCGAATACCACGCAAGTTAAATTCACAAGGTAGAATTTTGAAAATTATCTCTTCGCTAGTCTTTAAAATTCAAAGGATGGCGTCATTATATAGCGGGCGGTGTAACTTAATAAGTTCAATGATTTGTCTGCATGAAAGAAGGTGTCACAAGTCCTGACGAATGCAAATAAAGGTATCACCCAGCTT